AATCTTTATTCTATGGTTTCAGGTTCGAGTGAAAATAAAGGTTTTTTTTTCTTTGAGGAATAAATTCTTTAAGCTCTTCTGGGGCCCTTGGCCAAGGTCTCTTGAGCTCTTATTGGATTTATTTTTCATAGTTTTTTTTTTTTTCCAAATATAAGTTTTTTAAATCCGTCACTCTTCCCGCTCCGCAGTGCGCCAATTTGTATGAACGAACGCCTCCCGCCAGTTTTCAAAACACAATGTAGGGTCCCACTTTTGTAGACGATCACAGCCAAGGCCAAATTTCAAATTTTAGCGGGCTTTTTCAAATTTTGTTCAATGTCAAATAAAAGGTGGGAGGTTTGGGTTATTACAGCAAATTTGCTAATTTTGTTGTTATGTTCTGGGGATTTGTTATTCGTCTTTTTGTTACGATTTTCTCGTGAACGAATTTAGTGACGGCTCGTCACATTGAGTTATCACAGTATATTATGCTTATGCATATGTGTACTCTAACATAATATGTGTCATTCTAGTTTTTCGGTCACTACCGTGCTGCAAAGTATTTACTTGAAGGGAACAAGGGCTATTAGAATATTATAATAATAATAATAATAATATTAATAGTTTATTGATCCCAACAGGTCACCCCCAATTACAGGAACCAAACGACTAAATAAAAATAAATTCATTGTTAACAAAAATCATAACTTAATTATATATAAAAAAAAAACTATTAAGACAAATCCCTAATACAACAGCATATGTAACTAGAAGAATCAAAGTGAATGTCACATTTATCAGCTATCTTATTGTACAAAGAACACATTAATGAAATTGGTGATCTAAATAAAATATTTGTGCGCGAATAAGTTTTATAAAATAACAGGTGTTTACGAATACTAGGACGCGGTACCAGAAAATGTATCTTATTTAACAGTGCAGCACAGTCAAGCTTATTGTTAAGAAGATTATACAGAAAACGTATGATTAGAATGTTGCGACGCACACTAAGAGCTGTAAAGTTAAATCTTCCTAGTAGAGTGTCGTGATTAAATCCACGAGAAGGATATGCACCATCTTCCATAAAGGCTAAAAATTTCAAAAATTTTCTCTGAACAGCCTCCAGATTGACTCGGTGAACTTCGTAAATTGGCGACCAAATAATAACACCATATTCCAGTCGAGATCTGATTAAGGAATAGAATAAAATTTTTAGAGTGTTCTGATTGGAGAACTCACGACCATTTCGAAAAATAAATCCATACATTTTGAAAGCTTTTGCTATTATGTCGGTAATATGTTGCACAAATGTAAATTTAGAGTCGAAAATTATTACCAAATCTTTGAAGCTTTCTAACCTTTCAATGACGACATCGTCAATGTTGTAATCGTATTGAATAATCAATTGCTTTCTAGAATATGACACAATTTTACATTTTGAAATATTCAGCATGAGTCGGTTTTGTTTACACCAAGTATACAAAAGATGTAAGCAAAATTGCAAGAAGGCACAGTCCTCTATCGATTCTATTTCAGTATATAATTTGAAATCATCTGCAAACATAAGCTTTTTACATCCTACTATATCCGCTAGATCATTGATGAATAGGAGAAAAAGTAGAGGGCCTAAATTAGAACCTTGAGGTACACCTGAAGATGGAAAAAACGATTTGGAAATAAAATTTCTATATTTAACTACGTGTTCTCTTTCGTGTAAATATGACTGAAACAGTTTGATTAAGGAATTAGAGAAACCCAAACGATTTAATTTTTCAACTAGTATAAGATGATCGATTTGGTCAAATGCCTTAGTGAAGTCGGTGTATATTACATCACACTGTCCTCTGTTATCAAGGATTTCACATACATATTGTGAGAACGAAGTCAGATTCGTAATGGTGGACTTTTTTTGTTGAAAACCGTGTTGATAAGGAGATATCATATGCGTGGTTGAGTTGTAAATGTCACAGTACAGAATCATTTCCAGAACTTTTGAAAAATTGCACAACAGGGAGATACCTCTATAATTGGTGACATCATTCTGTCTTCCTTTTTTCAAAATGGGACAAACGTACGCTCGTTTCCATAAAGATGGAAATACCGAATTTTTTTAATATTAAATTGAACAATATACAAAGTGGTTGTGCAAACGCATGTGCACAATCTTTAATTAGGAAAGAAGGAACACCATCGATGCCCATAGTGAAAGAATCTTTGCATCGCTTTAAACATTTTAAGACGTCATCCACTGTAATATGCGATGTTTCAATCTTCGTACTGAACATGGGCTTTAGTGATAATTGAGAAAAGTCTGCTGGACTAGGCTGGATAAACACGCTGTTAAAATATTCAGCAAATGCATTTACAATATCCGTTGGGGTTGAAAGTTGTTTGTTATTATACTCCATATGAGCTGGAATCCTCGATGTACCCTTTTTCGCTTGAATGAAACTCCAGAACTTTTTTGGATCACTAGATATTGAAGCCTCGATTGTAGCCAGGTATTTTTTATATGCTTCCTTGATTAGACGTTTACATTGAGAGCGACGATGTTTGAATAAATTATAATAATAATGAGTTTTGTGTTTTTTATACAACGAATAAAGTGATGCCTTATTATGAATACTTTGAATTATTTCAGTCGTGAACCATGGAGGGTAATACTGACGATGACTAGATGAAGACGAAAATTTTGGTACAGCCAGATCAAATAGTTTATAAAGTTGGGCATAAAATTGCGAACAAGCATCTTCGACGTTGTCGATGTGTTCCAAGAAAGTCCAGTCAGCAGCTAACAGTAGATCATATAACATAGGATAGTTGGCTTTTTTGAAATTGTAACTTTCATTTAAGTTGTTAATTTGAAAATCATACGACGAAGTGAAAGACAAATTGAAATTAATAGTGATGGCAGGATGATGAGAGTCTAATATTATGTAATATTTACTTCAGGGAAGATTGTCGGCATTGTTTTGAGATCTTGTCTGTTCTTAAACTTCCGTGTTACTATATTCTGGTATTATATGTTAAGTCTCACTTAAATGCATAGTGAAACTCATCAGTTATTCAAGTTTTGGGTGGTAGTCTTGTCTTCAGGTTGACGGTGTCAACCTAATTTTTAAGTACCTATCTAACCACTTTTCTTCACTGGGTGTTGATGAAATGTAAATACATACATGGGCCTCACTGCACGTATTTTTTGACTCTGGTAGGTGACAACTTGTTAGTAAACAGAAGGATATGTATACCGGCCCATTTTTTTAATTTTGTACATACACCATAAAGTCCCTATGTTCAGTAAAATACAACATGGATGCATTGGAAGTCTATATCCAATGTTTCGTGAGAAAAATACAGACCTGATTTTGTAGAACAAGATATTTAATAGTTGGAATGAAGTTTTGAAGATACTGGATTTTCTTCTGCATAGGTAGTATAACATATTTAACTTCGTTTCTTCAATTAAAACATCTTTTGTTCCATTTCTTTAGTGGTGAGTATATTCGACGTTCGAAGTATCGATCATTGTTTACATTTTTTAGTTTTTTTACTTCCCGAGCGTAAGCAAAGGAAGTATTGTAATCGAGTTCGTCGGCCGACTCTCTACTTTTACATTTTCTCGACCTTTCATGACCCCTAGAAAACGAAGAAATAGGTCTCCCGTTTCCGTTTGTCTGTCCGTGTTAAAGTGCAGGACCGATTGTTGTGAAATTTTGTATTTATATTAAGAATATCATGTAGATGGTAAAACGCTAACCAAAATTTGCCTAATCATCCCCACCAATAATGTGATGACGTCACTTCAAAATTGTACATAGTAAATGGGTTTTAAATTGTATAAAATAACATAGTCCTACACATGTAGTTTACGACTCTGAATTGACTTTTTACCCGACACGTCCAGATTTTTTGAAAAAAAAAAACAAAATCATGAAACAACATTTTGCAATTTAGTTTGAAATCTTGCAGATGATTTACAGTTATGATAAGCATGATAAATTTTTATTCAAAATATATTTACTTGTCCCCTCCAAAAAAATTGATGACGTCACCTCAAAAGTTTGCCGAATAAATCCTATCTAAAATGTACAAAATATGATGAGTCTGTACTTGTGATTTATCATTCCATTCATATTTTTTGGATTTGCATATGCAGGGTGACTCATAAAAATTAATGAATGGGTGAATTTATTTAATTCATTTAATCAGGAACTACAAAACCGAAAGCTTTGAAATCTACTGTGAAAAAAAACATTATATGCATGCAGTCGTCACGTTTCCGACAGCGAGGGAAGTACTATCTAAACTCTCTAGACCAAATTTTTAATAGTGTTTTTTAAAACTGAACATGAGGATTATGCCAATACTCAATTTCATGTGTTGAGAGATCACCTATTGTATTGTATATTTTATATGAAGCTGCCTTCATAGCCAACTGTAATTCAATTTATCTTCGATCCCACGACCCACGGTATTAGTACCCGCTTTAGTTTGGGGCATCTTTACAGCGTGGAAAGAAACGGAGTAATTTCGTTCCAAAGTAGAATTCAAAACACCCGTTGTATTAAAACACCATCCTTTATCACTTTTGTAACAAAATACGTAGGTTTAAATTCGTTTTTTGGCGGAGGTTTGTATCTAATAATGATGCTTGCCTGATGTAAGATATCATTTTAAATCTTGATGAAGTCATATATTCGGAAACCGTGTGGAACTTTCAGCGTAACGGAAAAAGACATATTGGGTATGCACGTACAAACGTGTTAGGATCTATGACAAATATAACTAGCACAGGTTTTGTGCGTATATTTCAAGGTCACGCTCTCGATCTAGGTTTGGTGTTCTTACAAAATCAATAGTTGCTATGAAATTTCACTTTGATGAAACAAGAGATCAGATTCCTAATATATATATTAAAATATTCGATATATCGCTCCGATCAAATTATGTGCTACTTCAGACTGTACTTTCGTTAATTATAGTAGTGTCCAATCTTTAATATATTAAACAAACAAAAACAATACTTCAAAAAATTTATTTTATACAAATTTTACCGTTTACCAGGTATAACAGCTTTTAAACTAGCTGGATTTCTCTTAATACAAAGATCTGTAAAAGCAACTGACAATATTAATGACTGACCAAGAAGTTCTTTATGGGCTGATGACTGAGATAAATAATCATTTTTCAACTTCTGTTTCACAATAATAGGGGTACATGGCAATGTAAATGAGTTAGACGAGGGATCACCTAGTAAGTGAAGTACTGTTGTTGTATTTGAAACGCACTCATTCCCGACTAATGTTTTAAACAACCTAAAACAGTATGAAGAAAAAAGAAATTTTTTACCGATTTCATGAAATATTACCTTGCTGGCAACTTCGGTCTTAAAAAATAGACACAATTCGATAGTGTATCATATTTTGTTAGATCATCTTGGTAACCTTTGTTGTGACCTCTACTAGTGTTAATAAGTGCTAACAACATTGAAGATAACTCTAAATGTAGTGTGTAAGTTGCGACAGTTGCTGGTTGTTTTTGTCCTTGTAATCCCATACCATTAGCTCCTTCAAAAACATAAACATCACCACACGGAATTTGGCTCAGTACGCTCATAGCCTGCAAATCCCAGTTACTAAATAATTAGACATTATTGGACTGTATTACCAGTTTAAAGGTATCTACTGGACACAGTTTCTTCGGAAGGTTTCCATAATCCTGGTATCCCCAAGATTCGAGTTCGTTAGTGGGGTTAATTATTTTTGCCCAACTTACTCCCATGGGTGCCAAGTGTATTCCCACTGAAGAACCTAATGTCTAAAAGATGGTTACTGGATTCATAAGTTTTCAATGAAACACTGAAATAATGTCTAATTTGAAATAAACATGGTAAAATACATACATCTATCACAGAGGATGGTAACTGAGGTACAAACAATTGTTTGATTTTCTTATTATCATTATTTACAGATTTCCCATTTTGAACTGCTGTATCGGTAATTATTTGCTTGCATAGCTTTTCCAGTGTCTTTACACTTAACCCATCAACGTCTAAGAGTTCATCTAATGATTTAAAAGGACCTTTTCTTTTTTTGTAGTTTTCTAAATTTCGTATTTTATTCTGGGCAATATTGAAACTAAAAATTAGTGATGGTAATGAAGAATGCTAGGAAAATTGCAATATAAAATACAATAAAATGTAATTATACACCGTATTCGACGCACGTTAAACTGAAAGCTTTATTTTTTTCAGCAAATATATACCACATATTTTTCTAACATAAGATGTGTTAACATTAAAAGGACTCAGTTTTAACGGATATAACATCTTTATTATTGGTATTAAAATTGACAAAATTGGTTTTTGAAAGTGAAAAACAATAACGGAAAACATCGATTAGTGGTTATTTCTCATATTTAAGTGGGTATTTAACTAATGGTTACTTTGAAAGTATCTTATAAAATTATAAAAAAATGTAGAGTTGGTACTTAGTTTTAAATTTATTATTCCAAAAATCCAGATCATTTCTAATTTCAAGATACATAATTATGAATATATTAAACTGTAAAAAATTGAAACGTTTAAATCTAATGCTCGTTATTTCCTCAATTAATTGCGTATCAATTTATCTTAATTTTGGATAAAATAGATCTTTCATTAATTTATTTTAAGGAGATGATTTTTTCTAAAGTCATGTGCGGAACTTTTGTCTTTACTAGAATACCACTACTAGAATTGGCGGTTTCTTAAGTGTACCAGCAGAATTTTGTTTATAACTATTTTATTAATTGGGGTTTAATCTACAACGGAATAAAAAAAGCGGTGAAACTCTGAAACAACTGCGAAAAAGGAACTTGTCTCCAAAGCGAGGAATGATCAGGTCGGGTTAGGTAACACAGGCACCTGAAGTAAAATCTCAGTCATAGTTGAAGATAGTGTAAAGTATCCGACTTGTGGAGTATATTTATTTCGCACTAATTTGAGCCGAAGCATTGACTCTTAATCTTGCCTTTTATACTTTTGTCAAGCAACTACTTATTGCTAATGCTCTTCTATAATTCTACTGTTTAGTGTTGTTAAATAGCCAGCTATTTTCAAAAATAGCCTTAATAGCTGGATATTTAACCACATATTTTTCAGGTATCTATTCGCTAAAAACACTACCACTTTTGGAATTTTTATAAAATATCAGCTTGTTACAGTTAAAAAAATAACTCATCCTTATATAATTGTTTACCACATTAGTTGATCACTGTTAGATCCATTAAGAATAGATAATATTTTTTCTTTTTCTGCATTAGAAAACTTTGGTTGCAACATCAAATCTGGGTAATTAGTAGATGTATTTGAACTTGAATACTGCATCTAAAAATCATAACACTGACCACAGTCTATTAACCTGTTCTGAACTTACCCCATGTTTAAAATTTAACCTAAACTTGGAAAATCCAGCTCGTATATTCAGCATTTTAATATGAATTAAAGTTATTATTAATTAACTAATAATATTGAATTAATTGTATAGCCGTATTTTATCACAAAACCATTTTTACGAAATCCACTGTACAATCACATCTAATTTCTAACCTTATACTCTTTGAATATTGTGACATAACCTGTAACTTAGTAATCTATTAGAAAATCAATCTACTAAAAACGAGTTTAATCTTACAGGCAACCAGTAATACAAAAGCGTATTATAAATTGCATAAAGAAGATTTCCTTTAAAAGACGCTAACATTGGATGGATTATTTCATATCACCTGTGTATGCATGTTAAACATAGGTAAAATGCGAGAATCTCTTTGACCCTTATACACAGTTGAGTCGAGCTGTCATTCACGATACTCTCAGCTTGTCTATCAAAATGCATATAAAAATCCAAAAATGGTATACTAGACGCAAACATTTAGTGTGTTTATGGCGTCACATCAATTTAATAACTCCTATTCTAATTCAATAGGCCATCACAGCCGGATATCTTAAACCAACTTACTTATAAGTGATAACCTACCTGAAAAGACCTTTTCTGGGAAAAGCACAGGACAGTACTGTCTACTGTCTCGACCGTCCCTGACACGTGGTATGGTTTGCATTTGCTAAGTTTTATGAAGGGTCGGCTGTAAAGTACTTTAAACGTCAAAGCCACAGACGCACTAAATGTTTGCATCTAGTACCCCTATAAAGAGTGTAGATATTTTTCCCCGCCCTCGGAAGCATGTCTGGGTTTTTCTCAGATAAACTTCTTCGATGAGTCATTTTTGTTAATTTATGTGCGTATTTAAAGTGCGAAAAATAAAAGGCCAACGATGTTAACACTAGCGAAGGTATTTATTAACTGACTTAGATATGTACAATATGTGCAAACTAACTTAGTAAAAAAAGGTCTCGACATCTGGACGTCGATTTGCCGTGAAACGCCGACAAAGACAAAAGGGTCCAGACTTTCAACCACACAAGTGTCGCACCGGTACTGGGCCAGAGCGTATCTAATTCTGACATATTGCAACACTCCCACTCGCTCTGGTCAGATGAACTAAATAAACAAACACAAGAAAAATTAGAACACACAAATAAAATAATACTTAAGAGAATAAGTCTTAAACTGAATGTAAATTCAACAATTTTAAATTATTGGCAAATTTATCACGGCTTAGCGGTTTCGTGAACATATCCGCCAGTTGTTCCGTTGTCCCAACGTGGTTGATATCAATCTCTCCCCGTTGATAAGCGTCACGTGTGTAGTGGAACTTGACGTCGATGTGTTTGGTGCGTCGATGGTGAACAGGGTTTCGCACCAAATGTTCAGCGGCCGCGTTGTCCATGTGCACAATCGTCGGTTGTCGCTGCACTGCACCCAAATCGGCTAAAAGTCCGCGAATCCAAATAATTTCTTTCGTCGCCATGTACGCCGCTACATACTCTGCGTACGTTGTAGAGTCAGCCACAATCGTTTGTTTCCTTGACATCCAGCTGACTGGTCCACCGTTAAGGATTACGACGACGCCACTGATCGATTTTCGATCTTCATCCGACGCGTAATCCGCGTCCGAGTATGCAACGAGTTGATTTACACTTCCCCTTTGGTCACTAAACGTAATTCCAGTGTCCATACTTCCACGTAAGTACCGGAACACTCGTTTCACAGCTTGCCAATGTACTTCAGATGGATGCTCCAAATGTTGACTTAATTGGCTCACTGAAAACGCCAAATCCGGACGCGTAGCCACTGCCAAATACATTACCGATCCGATCGCTTGTCGATAAGGTGCATCGGTACCACCTTCACTTGGATTACGCTTCAACACTACACCGGGGTCTGCTGGTATTAAGCTGGGGTTGCATGTACTCATGTTAAACTTTTCGAGCACATTACGGACGTATGCAGTTTGCTTTAAATGTAGAGTTTTTGCACTAACGGTGCCTGTTTCAGTCCGTATAAACTTTTGTTTAGTTTACACACACGGCCACTACCGTCGTCAAAACCGTCCGGTTGCACCATATATATTTCCTCTTTTAGTTCACTATAAAGGAAAGCAGTTTTCACGTCAATCTGAAAGAGTTCATAATCTTTGGCCGCCGCGACGGCCAACAATACACGCACTGATTCGAACCGTGCAACGGGTGAGAACGTTTCCGCGTAGTCGATGCCCGCTTTTTGCGAACATCCCTTAATGACCAACCGTGCCTTGTATTTATTGATGCTGCCGTCCGGGTTGGTTTTAATCTTGAATATCCATTTATTTTGGATTGGTCGTCTGTTCGCTGGAAGCTCCACCAATTCCCAAACTTCATTTTTGGCTAAAGACTCCAATTCATCAGCCATTGCAAGCTCCCACTGTTTCGAATCATTCGTGGCTAACGCTTCTGCCAGAGTTTCAGGTGTTTGAGTCACTATTTTCTCACCTTCAGTCAGGAGGGCTGCAAATTGAACTTCGGTAATTTCATCTTTTTCTTCCATCCTTTTCTTCGTCTTAGATCGGGTGTTGTTTACGATGGAGTTTTCATCTGAAGGTACCACGCGTTTCGAGTACGCCGCTCGTGCTGGTGTTGATTGTTCTTCATTTGTAGCGATTTCAGGTAACAATTGAAGCGGTCTTTTTGGTGGTAATTCGACAATTTTTACGTCACGACTCTTAATAATTACTTTTGTACCTGGCCGCCAAAGTCGATATCCGTGTTGCTCAAATTCATATCCAACTAAGATGAGCCGTTCGCTCTTCTTTTCAAATTTGCTCCGTTTCGACTCGTCAATTAATGTATATGCAGTACTACCAATTTTACGCAAATGACTCAAGTCAGGCTTTCGACCGGTCCAGAGTTCGTAGGGGGTTTTCCCTTCGAGACGGGCACGTGGTATTCTATTTCTAATGTGAGCCCCGTTTCTAATCATTTCCGCCCATAGTCCTTGGGGCAGGTTTCCGCTTGCAAGTTGACACCGCACCATTTCATTTAATGTCCTGTTAGATCGTTCGGCCCGCCCATTCTGTTGTGGACAGTACGGTGTGGTCAGTTCTTGTTTAATAAATTTCTTGGTTAACACCGCCTTCATTTCACTGCCCAAAAATTCACCCCCATTGTCCGATCGCACGCGTTTTATTTTATGTCCATTCGCTTCTGCATCAGCTATTACACTAATCATCGCGTCGACGACGTCGGACTTTGTTTTCATAGGAACTGCGATGATCGTACCACTGCAATCATCTGTAAATACAGCTGCGAACCGCGAACCACCTAACGATTCATTCAATGGTCCGATCGTGTCAAAATGCATTAGATCTCCTGGCCGTTCAGCCCGCGAATTTGAGGACGGGAACGGTTGTCGCACGTGCTTGCCGTATACACAGTCTTCGCAAAATGTGTCCTCATTGTCCGTACTATCTTTCGAGTCCACAACTTTCATGCCAGTTATCGCGTCACTTTTGGCCATTTCGCGAACCACTTTAAATGCAACATGTCCAAGCCGTTCATGCCACACTCGAACGTTTTGAGCACTTGCACTTGCGATCATAGCCTCTGCCGTTGCCCGCGCGCGAATATTCATTTCGAATAAACCGTTTTTAGCCAATTGTCCGGTGGCTACCACTTTGCCACGACTAAACAATTGTAACGTGTGTTTGCTGAATAATGCGTTAACACCACGATTACTAGCTGCACTTATTGAGAATAGATTTTTCCCAATTTCAGGCACGTACCACACTTCACTCATGCCTTGCTCCAGTACTTGTCCATTAACGTACGAGCTAATCATTACATCTCCTTCACCTTCCGCGTAAATAGTTTCATTGTTGCCCACTGTGATCGGTTTTCTCTCACTTGCACTAAACTCCCTATAATTTGTAATAATGTCGCGCCGAAAAGTCATGTGTTTACTCGCACCAGAATCCGCGACCCATAATTCGCCCGCGTAACCGACAGCCATCGTTTCGGCTGTGTACATCATCGCTCTCAATGCGCCGCTGTTTGATGCTGCATTCGCTTGGCCATTGTTTTGAGTGTTTTGGGGTTTGTAGCAGTCGATCTTTCTATGTCCCGTCTTACCGCAATTATAACACTTCCCACTAAATCGCTGTTTTGTAGATTGCTGTCGCTGCTGATTTTGATAACGACCACCTCTATTTCTTTGATGATGTTGGCGTTGTCCTCGATTGCCGTTGCTTGTGTAAAGGGCTGAATTGTCTTCTTCGTCGTTTTTAATCTCGACCATTCCATTTCTCATTGTTTCCAGCTTTAATAACCGAGGAAGAAGGTTGACCATGGTTTGCTCTTTTTCTGGAAGCATATCAAAAGCCGCTGCTATATGCTGATACTGTTGTGGTAGTGTGTACAGTACTTTCGTGATTATTTGTTCATCGGTGGGTTTCTGATTCAGATCTTCCAGCTGTCTCACCAGCTCTTCGATAGCAGCAACATGTTCAGTAATTGTTGCGCCTGGTCGCATTTGATAATTATAAAATTTTTGGTGTAAAATATGAATCGACGTCTTGTTCTTTTGTTCGTAAATAGTCACCAGTCGCGTCCACATTTCAGCTGCAGTCTTCATATTCATTATATGACGCACAACATTCGTCTCTAGAGCACACGATAACGCAAATTGAGCTTTCTCGTCTTTTCTGTCCCATTCTTCTTGTTCCTTGGACGTACCTCCCGAATCAGGGCGAGCTTTCATACCTTCGACAACGTCTAACAATTCGTGATACCGTAGATAGGCGCGCATTTGAAACTTCCATACTGCAAAATCGTTGCCGTTAAACTTAGCTATCGCGAACTTATCCATTTTCGATGTGTCTGCTACTATTGGCCGCGAAACCGAACTTGAACACTGACCAACTACAAATCACAACTTCGAATAGGAACTAATCGCTGATATTCCACTAATTGCACTTTTTCAAAATACTAACTGCACAATACTCGATACGTAATCTGGGCCCATAACCTGTTAATTTATGTGCGTATTTAAAGTGCGAAAAATAAAAGGCCAACGATGTTAACACTAGCGAAGGTATTTATTAACTGACTTAGATATGTACAATATGTGCAAACTAACTTAGTAAAAAAAGGTCTCGACATCTGGACGTCGATTTGCCGTGAAACGCCGACAAAGACAAAAGGGTCCAGACTTTCAACCACACAAGTGTCGCACCGGTACTGGGCCAGAGCGTATCTAATTCTGACATATTGCAACAATTTTGATACACAATATCGGAAGATGAGTAAACCAATAGTATACACATACATACTTTAGACACTTAAATACAATTTAATTTGCTTAGCAAATTTTTAAGGTGACTTCATCAAAATTTTGGTGAGAAAATACATAAAACTTTGCTGGACAATTCTGATTTTTTTTTGAAAAAAATTTGATTGCAGGGTTAAAAATATCGGTATCCACACTTATGCAGCACACGTATAGAAAATAATAATAATAATAATACTTGTGATAGGTTTTATGTTGGCAAAATTTTGAGAAGAGATAACGTATTTAGTGGGTATAAAACCACCGTGGGATAAAAGTACATTTTGATTGCAATTTACCAATCTTATGCTAATATTAAAGCCTTTGTAAAATTTCAAAACAGCGCTTTTATATTTTCTGTGTACAGTATATTTAACTCTTCTTACAAAATTTTGATTTATATTTTCAGAAATCGAGATGTCTATGGTAAAAATAGGGACACATTAATAAATTACAAAGTATAGAAATATAATACCTAGTGCAGACAATCTGGTATGAGATCATGCATTTTGTATAGGCAGCAACGGTTGGCTTTTCCCGTCAAAGGAAAAACAATGACGTTTAGAGAATTTTAATACCTCTATCCGTTGTTAAGATATAAGACCGCGGAATTATAACTGGTACACTCTGTATATGAAAATTTAGGAAGGAAACGTTTGAAATTGGACTTCGTGTAAAACAGATTTGTTTGGTTTTTGGTATTTTAAACTTTTATATTTTTCTAAGAATTTTAAGTTCCAGAAGTTTGAGATGTAGATTCTTTAGAAAGAAAAAAAGTAAGTAAGTGAATGTTTTAATAATTTTTTTCATAACATTAACATATTTTCGAAATTTCCTACCACATTTTATAAATTTTAGATTTGTTTTATTCTAAAATTTTATTATAGAAATTTTAAAAATTGTTATCACAGTTGTCATCGTCAATACTTTTTCTAAAGTATACAATTCATAAAACTTACAATAGGTACTAACAAATCATAAAACAAAGTAAATATGTTGGTATAGTATAATCGTGTTCTAAAAAAAAAGTGAAGATGCAATTTTTTGTAGGAAAGAAAATACAAGAGTTATCTCGGCCTTTTTCATCCCATCCTTAGTTTTTACTTCCCGAGCGTAAGCAAAGGAAGTATTGTAATCGAGTCCGTCGGCCGACTCTCTACTTTTACGTTTTCTCGATCTTTCATGACCCCTAGAAGACGAAGAAATAGGTCTCCCATTTCCGTCTGTCTGTCCGTCTGTCCGTCTGTCCGTCTGTCCGTCTGTCCGTCCGTCTGTCCGTCTGTCCGTCTGTCCGTCCGTCTGTCCGTCTGTCCGTCCGTCTATCCGTCTGTCCGTCTGTTGTCCCGGATTTTTATTAGACAGATAATCTCCGAAAGTACTCGACCGATTGTTGTGAAATTTTGTACTTATATTAAGAATATCATGTAGATGGTAAAACGCTAACCAAAATTTGTCTAATCATCCTCACCACTAAAGCGATGACGTCACTTCAAAATTGTACATAGTAAATGGGTTTTCAATTGTATAAAATAACATAGTCCTACACATGTAGTTTACAACTCTGAATCGACTTTTCACCCGAAACGTCCAGATTTTTGGAAAAAAAATCAAAATTAT